AGATATCTCTTATTTTGGAGTCTGGGACGACGATCAAGTTCCGATGAGATTTACCATCCTCAATTTCCCATTTGCGATATAAACATCCATCTATTATAAGTGGACTGTCCCACTGGGCCCAATAGGATTTTAAAAGAGGGCTTTCGGAGGTAATTTCCTTGCGACTAAGTCGCTTGCCCGTTTCTATGGCCGAAATTATTTTGCCCAGAATGGGATCTCTTCGTTGTTCCGTCGACCAATCTTCACCCGACTCAAACTGCAATAGTCGGGCATCAACGATATTCTCTTTATTCTCAGCCTTTGAGCAATGCCTGCATTCTACCTTGCATGGCCGACGAGACAGGGTATCAGCATTACCGTGTTTTCCGCCTTTTCTGTGCTCGATTCTGAAGTCATAACTCTGGAGCCTCTCGATCCAACGGGCTAGTTGACCTTCCAGATTCTTAAACTGCAGCAACCATTGGAGAGCAGCGTGGTCGGTCCTCAGCAGAATATGCTGGCCATATAGGTATTTGTGGAAGTGTTTAACGCACTCAAGGACAGCAAGCAGCTCTCTCCTCGTCACACAGTAATTCCCCTCAGGTTTTGACAATGTCCGGCTGTAGTACCCGATGACTTTTTCCTGTCCGTCGATTTCCTGAGAAAGGACGCCACCGATGCCGCACGCACTTGCGTCTGTGTCCAGAACAAACTTGCCGCCAGGTATAGGGTATGCCAAAATGGGGGCTCTGCATAGCATGTCTTTGAGCTTTCTGAATGCCTCTTTTGGTCGTTGCCCCACTGAAACCTCTGGCCTTTTTGCGTCAAGCGGTGTAGACAGGCGGCGATGTTGGCAAAATTTGGGACAAATCGACGGTAGTAGGTGCAGAGACCCAGAAAGCTTCGCAGCTCATGTAGATTTCGGGGCTGCGGCCAATCTCTGACGGCTTGAATTTTCGTCAAACATTCTACAATTCTCTGCCTTGAGTTCATCTAACTTTCTGGAATTCTCTTCGAACATTCGTCTCGTGTTTTCTACTAACTTTCTGGAATTTTCCTCAAACATTTTAGCCAGCATTTCTCTGAAATCGTCACCCTTGGCAGCTACTGACGAGACTTCCCCACCGTTGGATTCGCCCATTTGCGATAAATCCACTTCATCCTTACTGTCAAACTCATATGTATCGATGTTCATACCACGGCGCTCGAACTCATCCAACAGACGTTTTTGTAGTTCAGCCTTGTTGCCAGTAGAGGACAATTCCAATTTATTGAGCTCCTTCTTCGAGTCTTCCACTCGTAGATCCTTAAACTTCATCGTAGTATTATCGTAATCCCACTTCTGACACCAATAGTTACGTTCTTGGGTTTTACTTAATCCCGTGTAGACGTTGTTTTATTTCCCAATACAGTTCGTACTAAATAAAACGCGGGTTCTTTCCGATTACGATTATTACAATGATTTTATTGACACAATTTACTTTGCACGTTACTTTACAGCTTTACGTTACTTGACTGTTTCAATTCGCGATCTGATTCACAACTGACTAACTGCCTTTCCATTCCCCCTATTTATATGAGCCCTGCCTGTCGCTAGAGAAGTTTCTAGACGATCTGGTAACATCTGGATTACGAACAATCTACCAATGCAACACACACATACAAACTTACATTGAGTGAACAATAACAACAACAAATATACAGGCGAGGGAGTAACAAAGAAAGAGGAATTAAGCGATCATCAATGATGACGTTTAACAAGAATTGTACGTCAATAACAAAATAGAAAATGAAAGAGGAAATGGAAGAATGTAGAAAAATCTATACAGTAGTTGTTGTTGTGAAGTTATTCGAATAAACTGCGTAGTAGAAATTTACGTTACAATTCAAATTCTTAAATTAACGGAATTCTTCTAAATTAACTTAAATCTAAAGTTATATTCGTAACAATATTTAGGGGGTGAAATGGACCAAAAACTTTATTTTTGTCTGATTTTCTAGTCGCTCCAGAGGCCGCAATTATGGCCCAAACATCGGGAATTTTAACATGGAGATGGGGATCGGGCCAAACAATAAGCATGCCTCTTTTGATAAAGATCGGTCAATATTTAGCGGGTCAAATGAACCCTGACTTTTGTGTGAAAAATTACAAAATTTGTATTCTATAGCGTATACATTATCCCTGAAGTATGTAGACCCAAGAAGTTGAAAATATATTCAAGAGGAGTGGTTGACCTTCAAATTGATACCAATACGTTGTCGTATGTACTCGGATGTGGAAGTTACACTTAAATTTTCACAGGTGCTTACGTATTCAAATATTATTTAGTAACCCATTACCCCCCTAGAAAGCGAAAAAATAGCGCTGATCGCTTTGAAATTTTCCATGAGGATCCAGGTATGGTCAAGGACAACGCCTGTAATTTTCGGTGGTGATCAGATAATAATATTGGGATAAAGTGGACCGAAAACTTAATTTTTTGGGTTTTTTTCGAGTCGCCACAATTGAAATCCGAACATAACAACACAACCCACAGTGAAGGTCAATAGAGTGCAAATATTGCCTAAGATCAGAATATAGAACCACACAAAGATAGACTTTCGTGGAAGTTGTATAGGGTATCATATGGTCGGCCCCGTCCGACTATACTGCTCCGCTCACTGGTTTTTAATATTATTCAGGCTACTAAAAAGATGTGGAGTTTTTATATATCTTCTCAGGGCGTGACTTTTTGAAAATATTTTTTTAGGACGTGGATTTTTGAAAAATATTTTTTTCAGGACGTGGATTTTTGAAAAATATTTTTTGGAGGTCTATATCAGGCGTGGATTTTTCAAAAGCATATTTTTAGGGACCCACACAAGATGTAGATTTTTATACCCTTCACCACACTGTGGTACATGGTATTATGTCTTTGTGCATATGTTTGTAAGAGGCAAAAGGAAACGAGATAGACACATGGTTCCTTTTGAGAATATGCATAGAATCACTTTCTAAGTCGATTTATGCATGTCCGTCCGTCCGTCTGTTGATGTTAAATTGTAAACAAAGAACATGTCGCATTTATGATCCGATTCGGATGAAATTTGGCACAAGTCACTTATTTGGCCCAAGGACGAACCCTATTGAAATTGGTGAAAATCGGTTCAGATTTAGATATAGCTCCCATATATAGTTTCGTCCGATTTAAGGTAAATGGAGCACCAAAGTCCCTACATATCCTTCTATTTGCACGAAATTTGGCATAGCGTACTGAATTATGTCCAGAAAGATGTGTGTTAAATTTCGTGAAAATCGGTTCAGATTTAGATGTTGCCCCCATATATATTTTCGTCCGATTTAATGTAAATGGTGCACCAAAGTCTCTATATAACCTTCGATTTGCACGAAATTTGGCATGGCGTACGGAATTAAGTTTAGAACGATATGTGTTAAATTTCGTAAAGATCGGTTCAGATTTAGATATAACTCCCATATATACTTTCGTCCGAATTAATGTAAATGGTGCACCAAAGTCCTTTAATATCTTTCGATTTGCACGAAATTTGGAATACCGTAAAATTAGGTCCGGAATGATGTGTGTTAAGTTTCCTGAAAATCGGTTCAGATTTGGATGTTGACCCCATATATAGTTTCGTCCGATTTAAGGTAAATGGTGTACCAAAGTCCCTATATATCTTTCGATTTGCACGAAATTTGGCACAGCGTAATGAATTAGGTCTAGAATGATGTGTGTTAATTTTCCTGAAAATCGGTTCAGATTTAAATATAGCTCGCATATATATTTTCGTCCGATTTAAGGTAAATAGTGCACCAAAGTCCCTATATATCGTTCGATTTGCACGAAATTTTACCCAGCATACTGAATTAAGAGTAGAATGATGTGTATTAAGTTTTGTGAAAATCGGTTCAGATTTAGATATAGCTCCCATATATAGTTTCCTCCGATTTAAGGTAAATGGTGTTCCAAAGTCTCTATATATCTTTCGAATTGCACGAAATTTGGCACAGCGTAATAAATTAGGTCTAGAATGATTTGTGTTAAGTTTCCTGAAAATCGGTACAGATTGGGATATAGCTCCTATATATATTTTCGTCCGATTTAAGGTAAATAATGCACCAAAGTCCCTATATATCCCTTCCGATTTGCACGAAATTTAGCACAGCGTACTAAATTAAGAGTAGAATGATGTGTATTAAGTTTTGTGAAAATCCGCTGATATTTAGATATAGCTCTAATATATATTTTCGTCTGATTTAATGTAAGTGGAGCACCAAAGTCCCTATATATCCTTGGACTTGCACAAAAGTTTCCTGAAAATCGGTTCAGATATATATTTTCGTCCGATTTTATGTAAATGGTGCACCAAAGCCCCTATATATCCATCGATTTACACGAAATTTGGCATAGGGTACTGAATTGAGTCTAGAATGGTGTGTGATAAGTTTCGGAAAAATTGATTCAGATTTTGATATAGCCCCCACATAGACATAAATATTCGTACGATTTTATTTGCATGCATTTTGTTGAAATTGGTGCAAATGCCGCCATATCTTCCATATGTATTTTGAACGGGTTTCTGATGGAAATCACATTTTTAACAGTGCGGCGTACCGAACAGCGTGTAACAATTTTGCTATAAATCGTTTTCATAAATTTGTCCCATGGTACGCAGACGACTCTGAATCTGCCCGAATGAAATTAAATTGCCGAAATGAAAATAGTTGCCGAAAGTCATGAGTATGTTCCACCGATGGAACATTGACAAGCAATTGTAGGGATACATATGTACAATATGTATACCCAAAGTGGTGAAGTCGGCCCAGTCCGACTTTACTACTTTCCTTACTGGTTAAAAATAAATTTTCAGGCTGGATTGTGGATTTTTAAAAATATTCGTTTTAGGGTTTCATACAAGGCGTCGATTTTTTAAAAATATGTTTTCCGGGTACTACAAAAAATTTTGATTTTTTTAAGTCCAGAAAATAAGTTTTATTTAATATTTTCAAAATTTTGAGTTTACATTTTATCCCGTATCATCATTGCTGCATATTTCATGGATACATTCCATTTTCTCCATGGATCCCAGCTAACACCCCAGTTTCTAGAATTTTCCTTTGTTCTATATGGACCATGTAAATGTCTAGAAGTAAAAGAATTCTTAATTTGATTGCATACTTCACTTGAGTGAATACTTACCCACTATAACAGGGATCATGGAACCACCAACCACCCTTAAAATTTTGTGGACAATCCCGTATACTACCGGCATTATTATCCTGATCGAAGGTAGTAAACTTTCTACCTCTATGCCAGCCCATACCATCACCAGCATCACCACTATATGCACCCAATTCGGTAATGGCATATTTTTCGGCTTCCGAACCAATACGAAACTTGTCATAGCGGGCAAATCGAGTTTCATTTTCATAGTCCACCAAAACGATTAATAATTCCTTGGGTTTGCCGTTACTGGTTAAACGATGCAGCATTTCAAGGCCAATAAAGAAATCAGCATCAGGATTGCCGAAGCCAAGTTTGTAATCCATCCAATTACGATTGAAATCTACCGAACCATCCTGACGTCGCAGTATCTTTGTCCATTGGCTGGAGAAAAAAATTAACGAGAAGGGAACACCATTTTTTTAAGACATGTGAAGATCAGGGCAATAGTTTCGATTTATTTCTCACCTTTCTGGAACTTCTTTGCCATTCTTTTTGTCCACAGCCTTGTTTGGATGATTTTCCTGCTCTGTTTGCCTATAAGAATTTTTTTAAAATATTTTTTTAAGGCTTTGAATATTTTGATAATAATTTTTAAAAAGGTTTATCATCAGGACCCAGTCATGGTTATATCCCGGAAAAATTATTTACATTTTATCCCGTATCATCATTGCGGCATATTTCAACGAAACATTCCATTTTCTCCATGGATCCCAGCTAACACCCCATGTCTGTGAATTTTCCTTTGTCCTATATGGACCATGTAAATGTCTAAAAGAACAAATCTTAATCGGATTTCTTAATTTTTTCCGACCTCCAAATACTTACCCACTATAACAGGGGTCATGGAACCACCAACCCCCCTTAAAATTTTGTGGACAATCCCTGATTTTACCAGCATTATTATCCTGATCGAAGGTAGTAAACTTTTTGCCTCTATGCCAGCCCATACCGTCACCAGCATCACCACTATAAC